AGTAAACAATGGAAACGTAAAATATGTACCAATTAGTAATGAAAAGTTGTGCAGTTCCTTCAGCAAATGAAGCTCACCAACTTAAAATAGGCTCAATTACCTTACAACGTGTTTTCAGTAGTCTATGTTGAAGTTCTTAGCACAGGCTAACTTATCATATCATATACAGTATCACAGTTCTCATTGATCTACAAAAAATACCGGTAATAAAAACCTTTTCGATATTTCACACTTAATATAATACCCGGTAATCTACTTCAACCTCCTATTGTTTACAACGACACATGACGCACCACCAGCTGTTGAGTATCAGCTACACGGTACACGTGTTTTTTGAATCGTTTTCAGTTAAAAAACTGTTACATCACATGTATATTTTACCTTAACTGTGCCTGAATGAATATATTCTCGGAAATAAATAGTAGTTTTGCTGAAACGTGATGTATTTTTAATGTAAAATAGGATAAACTACATGACGAAAACAAAAGACTTTACCTAACCTTCCGATGTTCTAGAGAAGCTACTCGTTTTTTAAATAGTTTTGGTTAAAATACTGTTATATTACAATGGTATTCTATTCATACTGTGCTTGATATAATGCACTCATGGAAATGTAATATTTTTGCTGAAATGACGTAGGTATTAGTGGAAAGTGGGATAAAATCGTGACGAAAACAATGACTTTCGCTTTCTTTCGTTCAAAAGATGTTACCGTAATCGCTTTTCGATTGGTTTTCAGTTAAAAAACTGTTGTATTACAATAATATTCTATCCTAATTGACTTGAATAAATACTACGATACCATATTTCTGAATATTTTCATTAAAACCCATCAAAATCATTTTCCTTGTCATCGTCTGCAGCACCAAACAGCTTCTCCCAGTCCTGTCCTTGAACAGGGCTAGAGGGTACGTGTTTTTCGAATTGTTTTCAGTTAACAAACTGTTACAGCACACGTATATTTTACCTAAACTGTGCCTGAATGAATAAATTCTCGGAAATAAACAGTAGTTTTGCTGAAACGTGATGTATTTCAATGTAAAATAGGATAAAATACATGACGAAAACAAAAGACTTTACCTAAGCTTCCAATGTTCTTGAGATGTTATTCGTTTTTTTACTAGTTTTCGGTTAAAATACTGTTATATTACAATGATATTCTATTCATACTGTGCTTGATATAATACATTCACGGAATGTAATATTTTTGCTGAAATGACGTACGTATTACAGTGGAAAGTTGGATAAAATCGTGACGAAAACAATGACTTTGAAATATAATGCAATATTAACCCCTAAATCGGTTAATTCGGACAATCGGCTAAAACGGACACCCTTCCCCCCTATTAGTCCGAATTAACGAGGGTCGACTGTATATTATGACTAACCTGCCGGACTGCATAGCGCCAATGTGGCCGTATCATCTCGCGTCCAGAAATGCCTCAAATTTCACCATATCACAGTAAGTTCTTTCTGTTTAATATACCTGGGAAGTTAGGTAAGGTTAGGTAGGTTTGTTTGGTTAGGTCTGTTCTTCATACCCATAAATGTTAAGTAGCATTTATTTTAAAAATATCCACTTTTAATATTTCCACAAACTACAATTGTCCACTATAATATAACAATGAAAATCCGGCATTTTTATAATTGTTTTCAATCAATTTCACCCGCGGGTTAGTCCTATATATAGGACTAACCCGCGGGCGAAAGTGATTGAAAACAAGAACTGTGTGTGTGTGTGTTCCCTTTTTCCTGTGTGACCTACCACCCGGATATATGACTGCCTCAGTCGTACCAAAATTTTGTCTAATTAGGTATTTTTGAGTCCCAACGTCAGTGATTGTGCAGTGACAAAATTTGTGTTTGTAATTCCCTTTAAAATGGCTGGCAAGCTTAAAAGTGAGAGTTTGTGGTGCTGAGAAGATAAAGAGACACCCAATTTCGATTTTCTATGTATTATCTAAGCATTTTCGACTTACGACCTACAGTATATGTTACTGGGAAAGTATGTACCTAGAGATTTCATGTAATCCCTGAAAATTTATGGTGTTTATGTAATTGCTGTAACCTTCATGGATTAGGTGAAATTGCTGATTTATTTTCAGGGATTTCGTGAAATCACAGACTTCAAGTCCAGTGATTACACGAAATCACTGGATAGATTTATTTATTTCATTCATACAAAACATTCTCTTTAAGTAATTGCAATTTCAGGCAATGATAAATTGATATACTTATAACTTTAATATCCCAAAAAGGACAGCAAGGATGTGCAATTTTTGGTATTGCTGTTTCACCCCCAGTTTGATTAGAGCAGAAGTTATATCTCGTCAATTGCAAATTTTTTTCTGATAGCACTTCCATCGCAAATGTGTAATAACAAAGATGGTAAATTCACTTAGGAAGTTCGTCTAAATCTGCAGCAGTCACCCTATGTTGTCTGTTTATTTACAAATGACCCGTTTTGGTCCGACAATACTCTCACGTCCACAAAATAACAAAATTACACCATGATGCTTCAACAAAGTTGCTTTCATTGGTACAGTACTAGATATCAAAAGTAGATTCAGTTAATATGGTGGAGGGCCTCCCCCCCCGGCCAGGAATTTTGGTAAGGTAAGCTAGGTTTCTTTGGTTGGTTAAGTCAGGTTGTATGGGTGGATGACAACTCAAAAATGACTCCTTTCTGATGGAAATGAAGGTCAGATATGAATGAATCACACCAAATACCATGAGAAAAAAACCTACACGTGAACCCACTTCCCAGCTTGGTCCTTTTCATACCCAAATACTTTCAAGTTAGGGTTGTGCTTTGTAGGTTAGGGTGCTAGCATCTCAGGTTGTATGGAAAGGTCAGTCACTGGGAAGTGTTCTGTCACTTGGCATTCATTCAGTCAGTTGCTGGGAAGTGTGTTATCAACAACTCTATCAAAAACATGGTAGTGTTGTGTGTACAACTGGAACAGCACGGGAAAACTAGGAAGAATGGCAAAATGTGCAGTTCCACCCAATTTGGTTTATTTTTTGAGGTAAAAATAAGTATTTTTCTCCAGAGATTTTTCATTGGGTAGCTGGTTGACTCAGACTTGCTTGTACAGTACATTTCTCTACTGTACATGGAAATTAAATGTGGTTTTATTTCTAATGTCATTTTTTTTTTTCAGCCAATTTTGATAGATGGTGCTGGGCACCTGCTGGGGCGCCTGGCTGCCATCGTTGCTAAGACAACACTGTCAGGGCAGCGTGTTATTGTAGTCCGGTAAGAAAATCTTCTATGTTTCCTGTGTTTTCTTTCACCCTTTAATAGAATTGTGTTATGAAAAGCACAAAATTTCTGTTTTGTTATAATTATATACACCAGTAGATGGTTCCAATCTCATTCATTATGAAGCCTCAGGATAAGTGAGATAATATTCTAATAAATTAGATTACATTTATCCCTAGTTATTGGACTAATTTGTGATGGTTTGGTTCTAAGAAACTATTTATAGTACTCAACTGCAAAAAGCAAAATTCACTTACACTATTTATGGTCTTGATCAAATAAACCTTTGAATGCCTTGCCTTCAGTAAATGTTTAAATAAGGGTTATAATACATGAGAATAAAAAGAATTCAGTAAACCCTCGAAGATCCAGACCCGCTAAATCCGGGTTTTGGAAGATTGGAACCAAAGAATTGTGGGTTCTGGGCTAAGAAGCTTTCCCAAAACAGGGTGAAGGTAGTTTTAGGCTTAAAGTTTTTATCTCATAAAGTGTCAGACTAAAATTAGTAAAAGATAACTTTCATTGCTGGAATCTTTGCAAGACAGCAAATAATTCGATTACCTGTATATACATCATATGAGGCGTCTAGCGTAGGAGGGACGAACTCGCCAGTCCCCCAAAAATCTGTTTTCTATGGTTTTGGAATTTTCCAGACTTTATCTTTCCAACTGTGATGACAGGAAGTGGAGAGTTCATCTCTACTCCCCGTTGTTTTTGTATGACGCTGTGATTTTACAGTTCTAAAACTTTTTTTGTGTGTTTACTCAAAACTATGATTTGGCGAGTTCGTCCTTCCTACGCTAGACACCTCATATTTTGCACAAGAGAAAAATTTTAGTCCTAAAGTGTATTACATTTTAGTACAAGTTTTTCAACTCGTATTTTTTATGTAACTTTCTTCGTTTATTTTTACTCATTTACATGCACACACCATCCTAAATACATATTGTGAAAAATTAAAAGAAATAATTGTCCTAAGGGCAAACCTGTACTACTGCACTCAAATGTACTAAATATTTAAAAAAAAATTTGTCGGGTGCAAACTATCGCATGTTTATATTCAAATTAATCACTATCTTACAAAAAAATTCCAGCAATGTAAGTTATATTCTCCCCGGTCACTTCAGTGACATTTTATAAACAAACACTCAATCTAAAGGACATAAATAAACAAATAAATACTTCACTAGACCTTCAGCCCAACTGTCAAACATGTCATTGTCCCCAGCAAGGGTTTGGTGGTTATACAGCAGGCTTACAGTTTTTATCTTGTATAATATCACAGACTAAAGTTAGGAGAATATAATTTGCAGTGCTGGAATCTTTGCAAGAAAACGAATAATTTGAATATAAACGTCATATTTTGCACAAGAGATAACAATTTTAGTACATTAGTGTACAGTACTGTAGTACATTTTATAATGTAAAGATTTTCAACTGTATTTTTGGGTAGATTTACATAAATTTCTTCATTTATTGTCATTCATTTACATGCACACACCAAACTAAAAGAAACATAAAAGAAATAAATGACCAAAGTGCAAACCTGTACTGTACATGTACTAAATGATTACAGTACTAGAATTGTTATGTCTAGTGCAAATTATAGCTTGTTTATATTCAAATTAATCATCATCTTATAAGAATCCCAGCAATATAAATTATATTCTCCCAGGTCATTCCACTGGCATTTTATAAGAGAGAAGCTTAGTCACTTAAGGACTGATAAATAAACACACGAGACCTTCGGCTCTGTCAAACATATCACCTCACCTCTTGCTCCCTCCCTCCCTCTCCCCAGCCAGAGTTTTAGGCCTACAGTTTTTATCTTGTATAATATCACAGACTAAAGTTAGGAGAATATAATTTGCATTGCTGGAATCCTTGCAAGACAACGAATAATTTGAATATAAACGTCATATATTTTGCACAAGAGATAAAAATTAATCGCCTATATCACATTAAAGTACAGGTAGTGATTTAAGAGTAAGAGTGTTGGGGAATTTTAGGAGTGTTTCTGACTTTATTCGTTTTTGGCTTTACTTTGTATGTACTTTTCTGTCAGCTGGAACCAATTACCCAATATCCCATTGAAATAATGGATTCGGCTAACGAACGACTCTGGAACGAATTGTGTTTGTTAACCGAGGGACCACTTTATTTTGCTCAAAATTATGGCTTTTTCACAGTTAAAAGTCTGTATAAACCAGTGGTGGGCACGGTTCCGCTAATTAGCGAAGCTAACTTTCTCGTTAGCGGATTAGCGTTTTTGTTAACTTTGGATACCATTAGCGGACCAATTAGCTTCCGCTAACAAACTTTATACATGTTTGTTCCTGTCTGTTGTAAGCGTGTGACGCCGCGACGCGTTTCCAACAGCCAGTCAGGCACCCTTGGCTGACTGAGTGTTTATTTACATGACTAAGACCAACAATAAGTTATATAAAAATGCACTGGTATAATGACTAAGACCAATAATAAATTATATAAAAATGCACTGGTATAATGTGTATGTGGTTGGTATTGCATATTTACATGAATAATGAATAAGGCCAATAGGTTGTATGAGAATGCAAGTTATCTGATCTTGGCATGATGTTATTTGCTACCCATGCTATACAGTACTATAGTTTTTGGATTCGCTTAATACTTTGTCTTTTCGTACAGTAAATAAAGATTATAAAGTGTATGTTGAAACTTGAATGTAAACTAATGTTTACGTTATTTCATTTGTTCATTTTATTATTTGTGTACACCTTGATCATCATCTGATCTTGGCATGCTATACGTTTTTGGAAAGCTCTGTCTAAGCTACAAGACAACATATGAAAATTTCAGCTCTCTAGGTCTGTTTTTAAGGGTTTTAGAGCCCCCCCCCCCAAAATGAAACTAAATTCATATAATAAAAGTTAGTGGTTAGCGTTAGCTTCCGCTAATTTTTTTTTAGCTGTTTAGCGTTAGCGAAGTTAACTTTTTAGTTAGCAGATTAGCGGTTAGCGAAGCTAACTTTTCGTTTAGCTGTGCCCACCACTGTGTATAACTAACCCCAGTTGTCGGGATAATATGTACAGTGGTCCCTCAGTTAATGAACGGTTCGGTTAACGAAATTTTGGTTAACGAATTACCTTCCATAAGGATCTTCAATTCGGTTAACGGACAAAAATTTGATTAAAGAAATCCTTACGAAAATCACGTTTTGTTGTGAGCATCAGCTGGTCAGCTGAATGTCCCAGTCAGCCAATTCAGTAATCCGTTCTATGTTTACATTTGTTTCCAATGGAGTAAATATCAATAAAGTTGTGTCTTTAATATTTTTGCATTTTTTATATTAAAAGTATTAGTCTTTTTAACATTCATTTAACACATTGATAATATATGCAGTACAGGGAACTAGTTTGTTGTGCGCCCATCGAAAAAAAAAGATTCATGAGTCGGCTACAAGGCGTCAGTTGGGCTTTGAAAACAGTGGAGAGAGCATCTATTTTGTTGCTCTCTTGAAAATTTTTGCATTTTTCATTGAAATTATTGGTCATTCTGAACTTTTCGGGTTACGAACGACCCTGGAGAATTGTGTTAGTTAACCGAGGGACCACTGTATTTATTTTTTGGCACATAGTGTGTGATGCACATTTAAACTGAAATAGGCCTAACCAGCCAAGTTGCAAGATGTGCTATTAATTGCTATTTTCAAGGGTAATTCTGACTACATGTTTTTGCTTTTATGCACTTTCTTCAGAACGTAACTCCCATGTAATATGTGACAGTTGTATTGATGTCATGGTTAAACATTAGCTTCTTTCAGCAATTTATAAGGCGTTATACTTTGATTTCCCTTCCAAGCAGTTTACCCTGTTGAAAACATTAGCCACAAAAATTAACCTGTTTACCCAATAGCCACCCAAACTAGAGGTGACTTATGTAGGATTCGGCCTGTGCAGATTTGCAGTGCCTGGCAGCCCGGACGTGCCCAACATTAAGAATTTGAGAGGAAAATTCTCAATAGAAGAATTTGTCAGGTGCTGCATGACTCCATCTGCCCATACATGTTAACCAGTGAGGTGGATGGGAGGAGAGAGTGTGACTTGTGTGTGCTTGACCTGACACCATATTGTGATGTCACAGCTGATCCCTCCAACAGTATTTCTATTATTATTTCAATGACCTGACCTGAAAATCTGTAAACAATCTCTTATTGATTGTTGTGGAAACAGTTGTGCTATAAATTGATGTGAAAACATCAACATTGAAAAAGAAGCCAAAATTGACCAGGTGAGGTAAAAGGCATTTAAGCTGACACAAGAGATCTGAGAGCTGATACATGAAAGATATTTGTTTGTTTTAACTTATTTGACTCTCCCCATTAAAACACAAACCCACCAAAAACTGGCAAGCAAATCTCCTCCAAGCCTTGTCAGGGCTAGTACAAAAAATATCTAGGCAAGTAAATGTCACAAGTCACTCAAGTAAGTCCAGGGCAAGTAAATGAGCCACATAATCTGTACAGTCTGGTTGGATCCCTCCATTGTTCTTGATAGTTTTGTCAATGGCTATCCTAGTACTGTAATGTTCTTGTTTCTACTACAGGTTGTACCTCTCTAGTCCGGCAACCTCGGGACCTGACCGGTGCCGGACCATGGAAATTCACCCTTTTCCTGGATAGATAGTGACTTGTGCTTATGCCTGGAAGCACAAGCACCACTTTCTCTGCATCATGGTCTCTTTGAAGACATATTGAAGGGTTAAATGTCGTATAGTAGCTTCTCAAATTTCGCGAGTTTTTAATTCTTAACGTATTTTATTGGAACACAAAAAAAAAATTTTTGGCGGCGGAAATTTGAATTTCGACGGGTTTGAACGGCCCGCCAACGTGCAGACGACATGCAATCGTGTAAACGGCGTCATTTCTCTTATGTACAAAAGATTCATTATTGTTTATTACTGAATGTCTTTTTTATTGAATTTATGTTTGTGTGCAAAATGAGCAATACAATTCATTAATAATACGTAGAATATTAAAACACACGAGGAAATGACAAAGCATTGTTTTCGTTGATTACAAAACCAGTGACTGACTGGTTCTACATATAAAACTGAAGAAAATAAGAACTTGGTTGTACCTGTAGTAAAATTAATATGGTTGTTTTAAGTTATGTTATTTAATTTTAATAAATGGAACAATAGAAGTAGCTAACGATAATGGTAAAGAAAAAAGAGAGATCGCATATGTAAGTGCGCATGCGCAAATGTGAAAATATATCGTCATTACTCTACATAAGAATATGAAAGCAACACTTATTTACTGCTCATATATATTGAAGGGTTAAATGTTGTACTCTGTATAGACAAGCAGAGAGAGAGTGCAGCCGAACTGCCGGATGTAAACAAACCTTAATATCCCGCGGCTTTTTTTTTTTTTTAAGGGGATTAGCCCACCCGGGCATAGGTCACTGACCCACATTGGGGCCTGAGGGGCAAAAATTTAATATACTCCTGTAATAATAATAATTCAGATAAGTAAAAAAAAAAAAAGCTACCTATTGGACAAACCAAAATCATTCTGGACCACGGGAGTTTCCGGACCACAGAATGCCGGACTAGAGAGGTACAACCTGTACTTTGATTGGGTCTGTCAACTTACTGCAGTGATTGAGTTAAAAGCTACTGTACCAGCTGTTGCCTCATTAAAGAATATAATATCCTGGGTCTTGCTTATTGTTATGAAGATGTCTATTTTTATAGTGATTAAAATACTAAAGAATTTCTAGTACACTGATACAAGATACTGTATACAGTATTTTAAGTGTACTAAACATGGCATCAGGTTTTTTTTTCCTTCATTTTTCTTTTCTACTTTACTATGATACTGAGTAAACATAAACAAGAAAAGTCGGGTAGTTGCCACTTGTAAGAAATAAATTATTGTACTATAACATGTAACATTATCCTTTTGCAGGTGTGAGAAAATCAATATCTCCGGATCATTCTACCGCAACAAGCTGAAGTATCTTGCTTTCTTGCGGAAAAGGTGTAATGTGAACCCCAAGCGTGGTCCTTTCCATTTCCGTGCACCCTCAAAGATTTTCCAGAGGACTGTCAGGGGTTAGTATTCAGTTACTTCTTCAATATACTTCTTAAACTCAGTTGTGTTAAAATCAATTATAAACAGTAGCTACATAGATTGAAAAATAAGATATTTTCCTGAATTTATTTCTTGAAGAAAATCTATCCAATTGTAGATGTCATGCGGTTTGGTTAGAATATTTATTGGTATTTATTCAGCATCCATAGTCTTCTTAATTGAAATGTAATTTTGCATAATTGTTTTTATTGAATACTTTTACTTTGGCATGTACCAGTGTTGGATTATGCTTACAAGTCTTCACACTAACCATTGGCTGTTATTTCCGTACTTTTAATGTGACTTGGTTTAATCTTGGTTTTACTGTTCTTTGGGTGGTCGTTAGATTAACCATAATGTTATTCAGGAATGCTGCCTCACAAGACCACTCGTGGCCAAGAAGCATTAAAGCGACTCAAGAGTTTTGAGGGTGTGCCCCCTCCCTATGACAAAGTGGCTCGTAAAGTTGTTCCTGACGCCATGAGGGTTACTCGCCTCAAACCTGGTCGGAAGGTATGTATCAAGGGTTTATATATTGAACTTGTCTCTTCTGTAAATACTCAAACCATTAGATATAAGATCCCTCCACAAGTCAATTGACTGGCCAACTCGAAAGAAAAAAACTTATCAGCAAATTTATGCTGCTATTCATTAACAAACATTTATAATTCTCACTTAATTGATATGCTAAACATTTTTATTCCGTCATTCAGTCTTTTAACAATTGGTTTCAGGCTTCATTAAAAATTATAAAAAAATTGTGTTTATATTCATAATTTTCTCTGTCCTTCAATCTTAACAGATAATATAGGAATAACTCCTAACCAGGTGTGCCTGAATAAGTCTCGTCAGTGTTGACTAGAATTATTGCGCTGCAGCATCCGGTTTAACAAACGTTTGGGCTATAGCATCAATGAAACAGAAAAGAAAAATAATATATTTATGAATACTGTACCAGTTTATGGTAATTACCAGTAAATATTTGCAACACATAAAATTTTAAAAATATCAGTGGGCCATTGTTCCATGTTTGCAGCAGAGCTGCAGCCATGAGTATTATATATACAGTAAACTAGAACCTCTACACCAGAATTTGCATCAATCCAAACAGTTTGTGTTGATAAGTTCGGTTGAATGTCTGTGCGTGGGTGTTGGTTGGCACATGTCAGTACGAGTTCTGTCCTCACATGTATTATATCAGTGTACTAATTACTCATTTACATGAACTCTTTTGTGCAGAGTATGTTATATCTATAATTGGGTTACAGAGGGTTTGAATATATCACGCGATAGGGTCCAAGGATGTTCGCCATATACAGTAATATCTCCGTTAGCAGGAATCCCTCAAACACGGAACTCTCCGATTGCCGAAATTGAAATTCTCTCGGAAAATCGTTCCCAAAGCCTGAATTTTCTGGAAAATTCCAGCTTTGGGAACAATTTTGCCTGAATTTTCCGGAAAATTCCGGCTTTGGGGACGATTTTCCGAGCGGCACATTTTCCGTAAAATTCTGAGAAAATTTTCCCGATATCAGGGAAATTCTGGGGATGGGTGAGTTTTTTCTGGGTTTGAGAGATGAAAACCAGGCACATTTTCTGGAAATTCCAAGGAAAATTTTCCTTTACCTGGTAAATTCCGAGGATGGGAGACATTTTTCCGGAAATGTCTCATTGCCAGAAGTGCTCTGCATCAATTGTTCTGGCTAACGGAGATATCACTGTACTAAATTGCGATATATAATTACATATACAGGAGCTCCTCTACTTAAGAACGTTCAGCTTACAAACTTTCAGAGATACAAACATCATCATTGAGGGGGTTACCTGCCAGCACAGGTGTTTAATGTGGATGAGACTGGATGATTTTGAAGAAAATTCCAGATAGAACAAACATTACCTAAGAGGAGAAGAGTGAGCAAGGTTTTACAATATGTTTGGTATCTACAAGAGTAAAGTTGAACTTAAAAACAAGCCTCAGGAACGTAACTCGTTCGTAAGTAGAGGAGCACCTGTAATCAATGGGGAAAAGAACGTTAGGTTCTGGAGGCCCAAAAAAGTGACTAAACTTGACTTAATGAGTTTAATTTCTTAATAACTAAAGCACCAATGAACACTAGACTGGAACAACAGACTTTCAATATCAAGGAACACCAGACCCCTCAGCAGACGCGCCATCCCGGGAACATCAGACTTGGCAGCAGACTCCACACTGCCACCCTCACTTGACAATCCCACACCTACATAAACGAACACCAAAAATATTGGTTACAGTATTAACTCATTTCCATTAAGCTTTCCATTATCTTCACTTCTCTTTTCACATCACTAGAAACCCATTTCCACTCACCTTAGAAGTCATAATCTGCAGCAGAGTCGGCTGCTTTCTTATCACTCACTCGGAAAGACTGAGTGGGCGAGCATGAATGCGTGAGTGAGCAGCCACCTCTGGTGAGCAAATAAAGCATTTGTTTGCCATTGCAGTACATGTGAAATATTTCCTCTCCAATTTCCCTCACGAAATAAAAATAATTATTGCTACAGCTCCTCTCCGACTTACGACCGCCTGCACTTACGACCTGCCTCAATTGTACCATAATTTTGTCAAATTACACATTTTCGAGTCCCAATGTCAGTACACAGACAAAATTTTCTTTTGTAATTCACTTTAAAATGGCTGATAAGCTTAAAAGTGAGAGTTTTGTGGTGCTGAGAAGAAAAAGACTCATTTTCGATTTTCTATGTATTATTTCAGCATTTTCGACTTACGAACTGGATTTGGGTCTCTAACCTCGCCGTGAGTCTGGGAGGAGCTGTATTACAGTCTCCTCGATTTACGATGGGGTTCCGTCCCGACGACCAGGTCGTAAGTCGAAAAGGCGAAAATAATACATAGAACTCTAAAATGGGTGTCTCTTTTTCTTCTCAGCACCACGAGATCTCTCACTTTTAAACTTGCCAGCCATTTTAAAGTGAATTACAAAAAAAAAAATTGTCAGTACACAGCGCGATCACTAACGTCGGGATTCGAAAATACGTAATGTGAAAAATATTTTATACGACCACGGCCGTCGTATGTCCGTGTTGTCGTAAGTCAAGGAGAGACTGTATAGGAAAATTGATAATTTTGGTAGCTGCGATATAAAAAACATCGTTATATAAAGTCGCGATATATCCTGACCCTATTGTACTTGAAAAAAATGCCTCCATGCATTAAGGGCACAACACAGTGAAACGAAAACCAATAATTTCCTTATTTACGGTGGTATAATGAAGTCACTGTTAATACTGTACTGTATTGCAGTACGGTACTATTATTTTTATTTTATTAATGACATTAATATATGACAGTATTACATTTAAATACAGTATTTGAGATATTTGAAAGATAGGGCATATCGAGCTATGAAACTATCTCCTTCTCCTATTACCCACACCTCTTTCATTACTTCTAGGAATCGTTGTAAGGCTATTCTTCGTAGGGCCAAGCGGAATATTATTAAAAGAAAGACTGCTGTCCTGACTAATTCTTCCTCTAGTAAATCCTTCTGGTCCTTAGCTAAAAACATCTGTAACAACTTCTGCACTCCTTCTTTTCCTCCTCTCTTCCGTCCCAATAACTCTATAGCCAACTCTCCCCCTGATAAAGCCAACCTCTTTGGCACCTTATCCTCCTCTAATTCCACCTTAGACGATTCCCACTCTACCCCTCCTACCCCTGCACCTCCTACTGAACCTATGCACTTTCCTATAATCTCCACTCGCAGGGTTGCCGGTGTGTTATCCAGGTTGGATGTGAGTAAGGCGCATGGACTGGACGGAATACCCCCTCGTGTTCTGAGGGAGTGTGCTGAAGCCCTGGCCCGTGCTTGCTCGCCTCTTTCGCCTTTGCCTCAAAACCAAAACTTTTCCTTCTTCTTGGAAGCATGCCTTGGTTCAGCCCATCCCGAAGAAGGGTGACCATTCTAATCCCTCTAACTATCGCCCCATTGCCCTAACTTCATCCCTCTAAGATTTTCGAAACTATCTTGAACTCCCAATTTCTCCGTCACCTTGAACGCCTTTCTCTTTTGTCGGATCACCAGTATGGCTTTCGCCAGGCGAGATCTACTGGTGATCTGCTCTCCTATTGCACCCATCTTTGGTCATCCTCTCTTAGGGATTATGGGGAAACTTTTGTCGTGGCCCTCGACATCTCCAAAGCATTTGACAGGGTATGGCACAAGTCTTTGCTATCTAAACTTCCCTCTTTTGGTTTCTCTCCCCCACTTTGTTCTCTCATCTCTAGCTTCCTTGAGAATCGATCCATGGCAGTTGTTGTCGAGGGATCGATTTCTCGCTCTTTCTCTACCAATAGTGGCGTCCCACAGGGTTCTGTTCTTTCACAAACTCTCTTTCTTCTTTTTATCAATGATTTACTTCACACTACAACTAATTCTATCCATTCCTACGCCGATGATTCTACTCTTCAATCTTCCTCACATTTTCCCCTTCCTCCTAACTCTCAAACTAGATCTGTTTCTAGAACTGATATCATTACTTCTATCAATGCGGATCTGTGCAGCATCTCTGAATGGGGAGATACAAACTTGGTTAAGTTCAATAGTAACAAAACTCAATATTTACCAATTACATTTCAGGACGCTATCATCCTCCCAAATTCTGAAATAAATATGTTAGGCCTCACCATTTCCTCCAATATGTCCTGGAAATCACACATCCTTAGTATAGCTAAAGCTGCCTCCCGAAAGTTGGGAATGCTGTACAGATGCCGCAGCTACTTCACTCCTGAGCAGTTGCTCCAAGTATATAAGGGATTCATTCGTCCTAACTTGGAGTACTGCTCTCATATCTGGGGTGGCTCTTCTGTCCAACTATTAGATAGGGTGGAATCAAAGGCATTTCGTCTTATTAACTCTCCTCCTTTAGTCGATAATCTCTCTTCCCTTTCTCTTCGCCACAATGTTGCTTCACTCTCTCTCTTTTACAGGTACTTTAACGGGCAATGTTCAGTGGATTTGGCATCCTGTGTACCGCCGGCAAGGCCGTGGGTTCGTAACACACGTCTTGCCCGCGGTGCCCACCATTTCTCTGTGGATGTCGGTCACACGAGAATAACCCTTTATAGTACCTCCTTCTTTCCTCACACAGCCAAACTGTGGAATGCTTTGCCTTCTTCTGTGTTTCCATGCTCTTACAATCTGTCTCACTTTAAAAAGCTGGTTTTCCGGCATCTTCGTGGTGTAGATTAATACAGTATAACCTTTTTTTCTATATTTTCAATTTCTTTCCGTTCTTTTTTTTCGCCCCCCAGGCTCCGTTGTGGGTCGTTTGACCTGTGCCCGGGCGGGCTAATTCCCGTAAAAAAAAAAAATGGTTCGTTATAGAGTGAACTCGTTTGGTTTAGAGGTATTGTACAGTCGACCCTCGTTAATTTGGACCCCTTTAATCCGGATTTCAGATAATTCGGACAAAATCTGAACAAACTTTTTTTTTTTTTTTTTTTAGATTTGTAGGAATATTACCTACGCGGACCTTAAGCTAAAATGCTGGTCCACCCACTGCTGGGATAAAACACCAGCGTCTTTTTGGTTAAATGTAACATCACCACTAGTGTGGGGGGGGATGCAACTTTTAGCTTCAGACATGAAAAATATTTACCATTTACTGCCAGTAAACAATGGAAACGTAAAATTTGTACCAATTAGTAATGAAAAGTTGTGCAGTTCCTTCAGCAAATGAAGCTCACCAACTTACAATAGGCTAAATTACCTTACAACGTGTTTTCAGTAGTCTATGTTGAAGTTCTTAGCACAGGCTAACTTATCATATCATATACGGTATCACAGTTCTCATTGATCTACAAAAAATACCGGTAATAAAAACCTTTTTGATATTTCACACTTAATATAATACCCGGTAATCTACTTCAACCTCCTATTGTTTACAACGACGCATGACGCATCACGCACCACCAGCTGTATCAGCTAGACGGTACACGTGTTTTTCGAATCGTTTTCAGTTAAAAAACTGTTACATCACATGTATATTTTACCTTAACTGTGCCTGGATGAATATATTCTCGGAAATAAATAGTAGTTTTGCTGAAATGTGATGTATTTTAATGTAAAATAGGATTAAATACATGACGAAAACAAAAGACTTTACCTAACCTTCCGATGTTCAAGAGAAGTTACTCGTTTTTTTAATAGTTTTTGGTTAAAATACTGTTATATTACAATGGTATTCTATTCATACTGTGCTTGATACAATGCATTCACGGAAATGTAATATTTTTGCTGAAATGACGTACGTATTACAGTGGAAAGTTGGATAAAATCGTGACGAAAACAATGACTTTCGCTTTCTTTCGTTCAAAAGATGTTACCGTAATCGCTTTTCGGTTGGTTTTCAGTTAAAAAACTGTTGTATTACATTAATATTCTATCCTAATTGACTTGAATAAATACTACGATACCATATTTCTGAATATTTTCATTAAAATCCATCCAAATCATTTTCCTTGTCATCGTCTGCAGCACCAAACAGCTTCTCCCAGTCCTCTCCTTGAACAGGGCTAGAGGGTACGTGTTTTTCGAATCGTTTTCAGTTAAAAAACTGTTACATCACACGTATATTTTACCTAAACTGCGCATGAATAAATATATTCTCGGAAATAAATAGTAGTTTTGCTGAGACGTGATGTATTTTAATGTAAAATAGGATAAAATACATGACGAAAACAAAAGACTTTACCTAAGCTTCCGATGTTCTTGAGATGTTATTCGTTTTTTTAATAGTTTTTGGTTAAAATACTGTTATATTACAATGATGTTCTACTGATACTGTGCTTGATATAATACATTCAAGGAAATGTAATATTTTTGCTGAAATTAAGTACGTATTACAGTGGAAAGTGGGATTAAATCGTGACGAAAACAATGACTGAAATATAATGCAATATTAACTCCTAAATCGGTTAATTCGGACAATCGGCTAAAACGGACACCCTTCCCCCCCTATTAGTCTGAATTAACAAGGGTCGACTGTATTACCGAATTCTGAGTAGCAGTTTGTCGTACGGTAAATCCTTGCCATTCACGAGGGATATGTTCCAAGAAATGGCGTGAATTGACAAAACCACAAATAACTTATACTACCTTAGTGCACTACTGTGTACCTATACCAAACAATTGACCAGCCACGGCAGCACTCATCTCCTCTTTTAACTTTATTTTTTAATTTTTTTTTACGGAGCCCACCCGGGCACAGGTCGAACGACCCACAATGGGGCTTAGGTGGGCGAAAAAATAAGAATGGAAAGAAATTAAAAATATAAAAAGAAAAGGTAATGTTAATCTACACCGCGAAGATGCCGGAAAACCAACTTTTTAAAGTGAGGCATTGTATGAGTATGGAAACATAGAAAAAGGCAGAGCATTCCACAGTTTGGCTGTGTGAGGAAAGAAGGGTATACTATAATGGGTTATTCTCGTGTGACCGACATCCATAGAGAAACTGTGGGTACCGCGGGCAAGCTGTGTGGTACAAGCCCACGGCCTTGCCGGTGGTACACAGGATGCCAAATTCACGGAACTTTGCCCGTTAAATTACCTGTAAAAGAGGGAGAGAGTGAAGCAACACTGGTGAAGAGAAAGGGAGAAAATAATAAAACTTTCTTTGTCAGGATCATCACTGACTTCTGCCTTTCACATTTCACTCCACTAGCATCACTAGCTCTGACACTAGGCATTCTTTTAGGGGACATTTCACACAGAAACACTGTAGTTTTGAGAGTACAAGGCGAGATGCTGTGTGGAGTGACTCTTTGTTCTGTGCGAAAAGGCTTGCAAGCTAGACACCATCTGTTTACCGTGAATCATCAAAATTTTGAATCACAAACTCGCGAATGGCAAGGGTCAACTGTATTGTCTAGTGAATTTTGGTATAGAGGTAATAATGTACTGTATAATGGTGTCACCCAGAGGTAGATTATGAGAAGGAAAAGGACTGTTTATGTAATAGTGGAACAAATCCCTGTATTGTATTCACTTAATTTTAAGGGAATGAACCTCAAATGGCAAGGGTTGACTTTATAACAAGTTCACTAAAATCTTCTTATCTGCACACACAAACCAGTCAATATTGAAGATTTTTCTATTTAAGTTGAGTGTTTTGCCAGGTTACAGTTTATTGGACGAGATGCTAACTTATTATGGTGGCTTCTAGGCACTATTCTTTCTATTAGTTGTTAACCAGAAATCTAAACATTGTAACTTAAATTGTTGTATTGTTACACATTTATAAGGAAACAAAGACAAACAACAATTATGAATAAGATATGAATTAATGATATCAGACAGTCACAAAACAGCTGATCACAGTAGGCTGACATATCAGTCACAAAACAGCTGATCTCAGTAGGCTGATAAATATCAGACAGTCACAAAACAGCTGATCTCAGTAGGCTGACAGATGTGGGCTCCTTCCTTCCTCCCAACTTCATGTTCCAAGAAATTTTCTAATGTCTTCATTTATTTTATTTTTTTTTCCTGTCCAGTACTGCTTTTTGGGCCGTCTGTCTCATGAGGTTGGCTGGAAGTACAAGACTGTTGTTGCTACACTGGAAGCCCGCAGGAAGGTTAAGTCAACTGTTATCTTCAAGAAACGAAAGGCAGACATGGTAAGCAAGCTGATTTCTAAATATTTAAGATTTATTGTGCTTTACTTTATTGAATGATTGTGTTAAGTTCTGGGTGTTGCTTTTGGTTGGCATATCACTGAAATGATACATGTTCAAGCAGATTCTTTATCTGCTTATTGGGATGAAGAGTTCTGTTTCTGAATATGTTCTCCCGAGTTAAGTTATGTGGATTTAATTGTGATAGATGATTAAAGACTCATCTTTGTTTCACTTTACCCTCGGGGTATTCTTGGAGTGGGTCTCTCCCCAAATCAGGACTCTTGGGAGTGGACACTTAAGTCTTTCAGAAGTTACAGCTGTTTTGTGGTATTACACAGTATGAGTTTTCTTGAGTCAGCAGATATTGCTTTCCTTTCCTGCTTAAAGCTCTGCCAGAAGTGGTCAGGTAGTGAAGTTTTTACCCTCAGTTTTATAAATGGATTCTTTAGTCGTTAGTTTACTTTTTTATTATATTGGGTCTAGGATAGTTTAGCATCAGTGATGGATTACCTGAATGTTTTTTTAATTGTTGGGATTATATTTCTTACTAAATTCTATCCTCTCATCCTGGCCAGCGAGCACAATGTGTAAGATTCATGACTGGAGACATTTTTATCTGACTTGACTCTTGAGTAGACATAGTTTTACCTAATTAATGAAGCTCTTCTGACTAACTCTTGGCCTTAATAGACAACTTGGCTTGATAGCTTTAAATCTGCGTGGCCTGAAGAAAGATTCTGAATGTGGAGGGTGATCCTGAAGTCTATGTTCTTATAGAATCACAGCAAATTAATTTGTAGAGTTGATGGCCAAGCAACTTTGATATCCTTCTCCCTCTTAGTCCAGTCAAGCAATTTTAGTAACGTCCCACTTCCTAGTCCAGAGCCGATCAACTTGGATAACCTTCCCCCGAGTCAATTGTCAAAATAACTTGGATAACCTCCCTGCATCTTTGGATTCAACGATTAGTCAGATGGATCAAAATTTTAAAACGATTTACCTTGGAATCAGAGATGCTAGACCAAGGGTTTCCCAAACTTTTTCAGTCAAGGCCCCTCAAATATGATGAGCCCCAGCCGAGGACCCCCAACTAAGAAAAATAATAAGACTAGTGACTGCCATCATATACCAAAATTTATCGTCCATGGTGTCATATTGTTTCCCACAAATTATGCACAGATAATTGTTTTAGCTACTGTACATGTAATTCTAATTATTCTTAAGTGAAGTACAGGTAACTCGCGATTTACGCTCATTTGATTGCATCATTTTTTGAAAAATGCGATTGTTTAATTAATACCAAAAGCTAATTTACGCTCACCTATTTTTGAAATAAAGTGGTTAAGACTGTTTAAATTTCCCGCGCGTAGTCGTCTGGTAGCGGAGTCGCCTGGTGAGGCGCTTGTAAGCTATTACTAAAAAGTCGCAGTCATATCAAGATAATGATTTTAATATTGATAACAATAATTATTATAATGTAATATTAAAGATTATTACTACTAATGATGAAGATAATGAAGTACAGTAGTGTCGGGATATATCGCAAGATAGGGTCCAATGATGTTTGCTATACTGTATACTACATGGCAATATATAATTACATGTAATCAATGGGGAAAATAGGGTTAGGTTCTGGAGGCCCAAAAAAGTGACTAAACTTGACTTAACGAGTTTAATTTCTTAATAACTAAAGCACCAATGAACACTAGACTCTGGAACAACAGACTTTCAATATCAAGGAACACCAGACCCCTCAGCAGACGCGCCATCCCGGGAACATCAGACTTGGCAGCAGACTCCACACTGCCACCCTCACTTGACAATCCCACAACTACATAAACGAACACCAAAAATATTGGTTACAGTATTAACTCATTTCCATTAAGCTTTCCATTATCTTCACTTTTCACGTCACTAGCAGCCCATTTCCATTCACCTTAGAGGTCATAATCTGCAGCAGAGCCGGCTGCTGACTCGTCACTTGCGCCGCTTGGCTCACAGCCAGCCTCCTCCTCGTCAAGCGACGACTACGAGCGTGAATGTGCGAGTGAGCCGCCACGGTGGCGCCTCTGGTGAGCAAATAACGCATTTGTTTTCCATGGCGGTGCATTTGAAATATTTGCTGCCCGATTTCCCTTGCGAAAAAAATAAATATATACTGTATGTATACAGTATATCGCTATACGTTTATAGGAAAATGTCGATAATTTTGGAAGCCTTGATTTTTTTTTATATATAAAGTTGCAATATATCCCGACCCTACTGTATTTTGTACAACAATTGTGACGACGTCCAGCAAGCTTCTCGTGTACAGTGGTCCCTCGGTTAATGAACACAATTCGTTCCAGAAGGTCATTCGTTAACCGAAACCATTGTTTCAATGGGATTTTGGGTAATTGGTTCCAGCTCACTGAAAATTACATACAAACTAAAAATAAATGCAGTAAAGTACACTTACTTTGAGGTGTGCATGTAGAAGGCTCCTGGTTGATGGTGATGGGAATTAGAAGTGGGGGTGGAGGAGAAGGGAGAAGAGAAGGCAGTGGGGGTGGAAGAGAAGTCACCCCATGCTTCATGCTGCCATTTCACCCATAAAATTGTAAGTTCACTAGGTGTAATTCAAGATTATTTTCTTTAAATCAACACTGCACTGCATTATATATTGTCAATATGTAAAATAAATTTCAGTGACCAGTAATTGTACTGTAAACACGTAAAAATAGTTTACATTCAAGAGTCTCAAGCAAGATGCTTCCTCCACTAACCAGAGACACAAACTGATGCCATTCTGGGTGAGTCAAGTGGCTGTTTGGCGTGCTAAAAACTAGTTCCCTGTACCTCAGTTACGTTAAATAATTGTTAAAATGACTAAAAATTTTATAAGACTTGGGAAATTATTGACCAGTACAACCTTCTTGGTATTTACTCAAATGGTAACGAATTAAGCCCTAGAACCGATTACTGTATTGGTGGACTAATACTACAGCTGGTGAGCAGGCAAAAGCAGGCGAAAACGTGTTGGGAAAAATTCGTAAGGAATTCGTTAACCTAATTGAATATTCCTATGATAGGTAATTCGCTAACCGAGGGATCACTGTATTGCTTTCTCAGTTCACACCAGCACTACTTCTTCTCTGTGCTTTCGTTTGCATTGTGTTTTTATTGCGTACCCTTTTAGTGTTAAACGCTGTTTTCCTTATTGAGCGTGTCTGGAAAACGTCCATCTGCTTCCTCTGGGCTGCCTGAAGCTAAAAAGGCACGAAAAGCAATCAAAATGGACTTGCAATTAAATGTGATCACCTGCCTTCAGAGAGGAGAGCATGTGTCGGAGGTTGGCCGTGTGCTTGGTTTAAGTTAGAGCACTGTTCATACCCTGTGCCGTATATGATGGTTCCCCTAACCTGTACCATTTACATGTATTCTTATGGGAAAATATGTTTAATTTACGTGTTTTTTAATTAAGCGGTGATTTTCAAGAACGTAACCCCCGCGTAAAATGAGAGGTGGGTGTAATTAGTAATAAATAAATAAATTTTCCTTTTTAATGTTTTTTTATTGTTTTAAATTCAAAGCAATGTAAATTTTGTACAAACACAACCACAATACACGAACACAATATTGTGGCGCAACCAGACACCAAAATAAAAAAAATTACCTACATATCAAAATTGCATAGCAACACAAATCAGGCGATCAGGCATATTCTATCTAGTGGGATGGATGGGCTTGGTGGCTTTTGCACAATCTGTCAGTGTGGGGCTTGATATTAGTGAGTGCCAGATGCATGTCGTTGTCCACCTGCAGGTGTGCTCTGTGCTTGGTTTTCAGTACTTTGAGTATAGAAAATCCTGCCTCACACAAGTAGGTTGTGGCAAAGGCCAAAAGGCATTTCTGAGCCTTCTCAGCCAGGGCAAGATATTTCTTACGTAGATCCAGAACTCTGACAAGATGTGCACCTACCCCGGCTGTAAAAGGGTCTCTAATCCAGTTAAGGTGGGGGTTGTCAAGGTCAGGGAAATAGTCCCTGAAGTAGCCTTGCAGATGCGCTAGATGGGTGTGATGCTGTGTCGGCACTGGAAGTCATACATTCCTGGTAATAAAGTGGGAACATTTCAGTGACTCCTTCATGGAGTTTGCTATGCCACGGAAACTTTTTGCGTGAATGCACGTAGTTTGTCCTGCACATTCAAAATGCATACTTCACGGCCTTTCATGCTCTGGTTTAGTACATTTAGATGCTGGAAGATGTCTGCTAAATATGCTAACTTCATCATCCATGAACTCATCTCTGAAACAGCTACCTAGGTCTGACTTCTCTGGTGAAAGAAAATCGGCCAACGCTCTCCATAGGGCAAACACATGATTCAAAACTGTCCCACGCATTAACCAGCGCACTTCAGAGTGGAGCAGGAAGCCCTCAAAGTCGGCACCCATTTCATGGGAAAGTGTTTCAAACAGCCTGTGTTTTAAGGGGTGTGCTTTTACATGTTCACCATTTTCACAACAACTTGCAGAACCTGATGCAATTCATCATCAGTGCATTTTGCAACAAGTGCCTCATGATGGAGCATGCAGTGTGTGTTGATGACATTGGGGGCTTTAGCTTTTATGAAGGCAACGACTCCATTACATTTACCTGTCATAGCAGTGGAGCCATCAGTGTACACACCCATGCAATGAGATTAGTCAACTGAATTATGCTCCATGTATTCATCCAAGATTCAAAAAATGTCTTGCCCGGTAGTTTTACCCTTTATGGCTTTGCAGAAAAGTTTCTCTTCAATAAATTTCCCCTCTGATAAATCTGATATACACAAGCAGCTGTGCTTCGTTTGCGATGTCTGTGCTCTTGTGCAGCTGCAATGCAAACTACTCACTGGCTCTCACCTGCTCCAAGAGTTGTACGTACAGTGACGTCCTCGGCCATGTCATCTATCCTTCTACTCACAGTATTGTGCGATAAGGGTACCAGATCAACTTGCTCGGCGGCATTCTTCCTAAATAACTCCTGAACAATGTCTCTCGTTGCTGGTAACAGGAATTCTTCCCCAATCGCATGTGGTTTCTTATTACGCCAATATGAAAGGAAGTAAAAAAGGATGCTTTGAGTGCCCTCTCTGGAACTGTGGCTTGCTGTCTGAATGTACTCGACTGTCTGGCTAGTGATGATTCTTGTCGTTTGAAGAAATCAACAGGTTTTCTGGCTTCAGTGGGGTGTTTTTATTGTGTCTTTGTAGGTTCAGTGGTTTCAAACATTCATTGGAGTATAACACACTTCGGGCTCTGCACTCCTTCTTTTTTCACCACAGATAAACCCATATGCAATATAGGAGGGATCATGCTTCCTCAGTTTTGATTTCCCTCATTTGTGCTTGAGCTACTCAATTCACTTGATCTTGATGAAGTAGCAGTGGATGGCTCGTCAGATGATTTACATTTCAATAACCTGTCCACCTTGAATTTGCATCTAGGCTACCAAACACTTCCTGCAAGCATAAAAACAAAACAAAAATTTTCCGCTGTTGCCGACATAAAATTGATTGTTGCTAAACGAAATGGATAGTATCCAGATTATCGTGTTTTTACTTAGCATGTATTCTGTTAAATTTAGTAAAAGTACAGATGATCTACAAATATACAGTTATTTTCACCACTATTATAGTTTCATAAGAGCTGAGTGAAACAAATATTGTCATGATTCATTCATTTCTAGTTTGTTTATGTAGGCAGATTATTGGTTATTATTTTTTTATGATTCCTTGTAAATAAAAACATGCAGCATAACTAGGGCAATCTCTTGTCAATTAAGACAATTTTTTCTAATGTGGTAATAGGAATGATGTGGAAGGCATAAATACAAAGTTTTGCCCTAATCATAACCATTTGTAACTACCTGTTGACAGGAATACTAGTCATATAATAGTGGTGAATGAAAACAAACAAACTTTCTCTTAAAGGTTTACTGATACTGTAGGTTGGGGGAGAGAGTGGAAACAAAAGATTCAAGAATGTGTGTTGATGGCATGAACTGTCCAATCATGAGAGACAAGATTAGGAGAAAGTGTCAATACCTCCAAGCTTATAGCCAATAAGATTTAAGTACAATGTGGCGAAACATGACGACAGACCCAGCGGTTTTCAAATCCTGGTTGTAAATCGGGTCCAACGGGCCTAGCTTGTGGCCTGTTGGTGCCAACGGGTAACCGTAAATGAATGGAAAACAAATAGGCAAAGGGAGAGAGAGAGTCGGTGATGGAAAAAATAATAATCTGATTATATATTTATTTTTTGGGCAAAAAATATTGCTTTCTATCATCTTGTTGCAGACCCCAGTTTGAGAACCTCTGTGCTAGACCATAACCTGGTGGTGTGTGCTAATTGGAGTATTTGGGGAGGGAGGTGTGGTTGGTATACCCAAATAGGTTAACAATTGAACTTTTGCTTGCATTATGGGAGACATCTAAAGACTGCTATCCCCTTAGTAAGCTTTCTGTATTACAAGATACACCTGCACAAATGATATTTAGTTTTAGCAACTGTAATTTGGCTTGGTAATTGAACAAGATTCTGAATTTTCCTACTAAGCTTATTAAACCAAGTTCTTGTTCAGCGAGAGGAGACCTTACTGTATTCTATTTAGTTATATACAGGTTTACTCCAATAACCGACGCACATAAGGACTGAAAAGTCTAGTGAATCAATGGTTATGGCCCGAAGTGATTGTAGTGTGGGGGGGTGTTATTTTATTTGCTGTATTATTATTTTTTTTATTTACACCAACTTGCCACTCAGCCTATCAAATTTGACCAACTAATGAGGATTAAAAGAGGAATGACAATGTGAACTGCAAAGTTTTCTTTATTGATTTTTTAATTATTAACAGTAGCATAAAAATTTGATGGATAAATAAAATCCTTATTAAAATAGAAAGAAATAATGAAAATACTGTACTGTATATATATTTTTTATTTACTGCATGGATAAAATCAGCAGCTTTTACCTATTCATAGAAGTTAAACTTAAATTTTAGTTCTAGTTTTCTTAAGCTTCCAATTATCTGCAATCTTTTCCAAGACCCTAACTGATCAGTTATGTCATTTTCACAAGCTATGAGCATAAGATTATGTAACCGTTTTTGTGAGGTTCTGTTTCACAGGGATGGTGTCAAAAGCTTAAGCCTGCTAAAAGACCTTCAGTTTTACACACTGAATGTGGTGGTCGAGAATAGCCTGAAAACTTTTTCCACGAGGAAATAAATTATACTTTCTATGAGCATTCAGTGCACATTCTACAACTGAGCGAATGTTTTTTTTTGTTTTTTCTTTTCTACATCGGGATGCTGCTCCACATATTCAGAAAAATTAATGTTGAACACTTCTAATTCAACTCGGAAAGATTTTGTCAGGTGTTTTAGATAGATACAGTAGGTTTTGGACAGATTTTTCATGGCTTCAATAAGCTTTCTGGGTCATAGTTTGCAACGTTAGGATCAAGAACATACGCAAAATATTTGAATAAAGATTTCAGATTTTCGAATTTTGAAGTCAGCACAGAAATCGTCATATCTAAAACTGCATTCATTTCCTTACAATAATAGGAATACAAATTATACTGATCACTAAATAATTTTTTATATTTTGGAGGGGTGGGGGGGTTTTCTTTGACGGTGAACAATCTTGAACTCTTCTTTCCAACATAAATATTTTTTTGCAATGTTGGGTGCATCAGGTCAGATCAGTTACACAAAACCCACTAATCCCCCACAGCTCTATGAGAGTTGAAAATAACAGTCTTTGCTGTGGCATACAGCTTCATTCATGCCCGTATCTTTTAGAATTTTAATTTTTAAGTATATTTAATTAACCAAACTTTTAAGTAAACTATTCTGGATTATTATAGTAAAGAAATTAAGTTTGTAACTTAATTAGAACTGTATTTATAGATTCCGGTAGTTTAGACTCAAGCAAAACATCTCCAGCACCCAGAAACGTTCTGGGGAAGTGGGCTAGTGTGTGTGTTTGCAAGAGGTCTAGTTTAGACACTTGGTAACTTTTCCCAGTAACCGGAAAAGGTTCCGGGATAAGGAATTTTTCTGGGTTTGAGAGTAGTCTTGTTACCGGGAAGTCTCTCATCCCTGGAAGTGCTCTGCACCAATTGTTCCTGCTAACAGGGATATCACTCTACCTGTAATTACTTCACTTGAATTGCAGCCATGCCCAATCACTAAATTAGAGCCAAGAGGTAGACAAGGAATGTAAGTGATTGGTCTCAAGCATATCAGATAATTTCTTTTGAGCACCATTGTACTTGTCAGACATTGTTGCTGCATGTCATATGTTTGAAACCTAATGGTATGTGTGTCAATTTTACTTTCTGAAACCACATTTCATAGTTCACTAATTCACATTCATATTTCTTTATTTCTTTCTTTATCTTGTGTGGCATCACCGTAATCATTCAAAACACGATCGACTGTGTTACCTCTTGCTACCAGTCTGTGTGTGTGCCCTTTCTTGACCATCTCCATGAATTTTTTTAGATCATTGTGACCAACTTCTGGCAACTTAACCAACTCAAGACCACTCATGTCCCGTTGTGCCATCCCTGCACATGAGGATAAATTTTTTTGGTAGGTTAGGGACTTGCTACCCCCTCCCCACTAAAAAAAACTTCCATCTACCCTTGATATATATCTGTTGTGCACACTGCCAAATAAGAAAATAAAGCAACTATAATAAACATTAAATAAGGAGTGTAAAGCATAAACTGAGACTGTTATTTACCTATGTTGAGAATGGTAAGAGACATTCCAGGGTGGCAAGTTAGTCTCTACCAATCTTTGCTTGTCCATCACCACTCTGACTTATCACACATGAAGGTCAGGGGCAACACAAGAGGAACTATCATTGGGGCATTTAGGCAGGATCGTATAACGCATAAAGTCGGAGACACATGGTAAGTGTAAGCAAGGACAGAGAGGCAGTGCGCAGAGCCCTCCCGTGGCAAGAATTTGCACCACGCCACCGCTGGTCAAATTCAAAACAGCTCTGCCGATTGTCGGATCTCCGGGGTATCAATGAAACTTGGGGGTATTTCCCCTATATGTAATCTATGGTTAGGCTTAGTTGCAGTTACTGCTATGTTGGTTTTCAGGGTATACCTGTAAGGTTGTTCTCCTATTCATTTATGATAGACTATTTATTAACTTAATTGAAGTTATTATAACATAGCAAACAAGCTTTCCCAGCAATTATTTTAGGGTATTCCTGTAACAAAATTATTTTTGCATTTTAGCATAAATTTTATGAATCTGAGTGTCAATTTTATTTACAGAAACTGAGGAAACAGGCAATGGCCAAAGTCACCAAGAGGATTGAGCCGTACACTAAAGTCTTAGTTAGCTATGGCATTGAGAGTTAATAAATTTGTGTCATTGGTGGAGCGTTTCTATGCCCTTTGGACTTTTTGATATGTTGTCTGTGGATATTAATTATAAAGTTTATTTCTTTAATGTAGTGATGTTTTGTTAACATATATTTTCATGGTTTTTTATATTATTAAAATTAAATTAATGCCTCTTTCTTGAGCTTGGTTTTTGTTAACAAATACAGTACAGTATTATTACTAAAATTACATTTATTCCACTTTCTTGAGATAAAATTTCAAGCTTGGTTTTCATGAATAAATGGTTAACCCTCAAAAGCACTAAAGGATTTATTATGCCTCATTTATGATTTGTAGTGTTATGTTAGTATTGAAAACAACATAGGAATCTTGAAGAAACCACATCTCTTAAGGATTTTATTCATCAGGTATGTTGAAGTATTGTGTTATTAACTGTAGTAGTGAATCTGTCACACACACACACATTGTAACTAATTTAAGGTGGATACTTCTAAGGTGATACTCTGCCATATGCCTTCTCCTCTCCCAGTTACCGTATTTTGTTCGAAAATGTACTAAAAAAATCACCCTGCATCCTCTGTTAAGTTGCGGTCTCCCAGAAACTAATAGAATCCTCTGCAGTAGTTGCTGTCTCCAGTAGGCTATATTCTACCTAACCCAAGCTCAGTTTATAACTACTGTTCTGATGATGATGATAACCTAAGACAATTAACGTCCGTGACGCAGACAAACCCAACTCTTCAGGGGTAGCTAAGCAGTAACCATTTCTGAATTCTAACAAGCATTACACAATTAATGTCGTACCTGTAACATTAAATTTTCAATCTACAAATACCTGATACAAATGAAGATTTACAGATAACTTTCTTTTCATATTTGCGTCTATTAACATTGCCGCACATTGTAACCAGGTTAGACTCATAACTGTAACCACCAGGCTAATGGGCCAAGCTGTGAGGTGTTACGGTTGTTTTTTATCTTATATTTTTGGGTAGGTACTATACATAACTTTCTTCATTTATTTATAGTTACTTGGATACACCATCCTACATACATTTTGTGAAAAAGGTAAAAGAAATAGTTGTCCAAAGGGCAAACACATAAAGGGAATATACAGTACCTCGACATTTTTTTTTTTACACGAGTTAGCTGTCTCAGTGGGGGAGCGGGAGGAGACGGGGGGTGGAGCCTTGTTAGGGAATCGGTGGAGGTCTTCCTCACTATGGGGAGTATATGCATGTGGTGACTGTTAACTTTCAATTGGATTTTGTTTAATGATTTGGGAATACAGTATTTTTTTGGGGTAACTTTTTTATTGACATTATTAGTAATTATTCACCATTTACTGGTACTGAATATATTATTTTGAGAAAACTATGGCTACAGGAAGAAAATCCACAACTTTTTTTACAAATACTCCTGCTAAAATGGTAGGAAGTTTTATATGCCATAAAATATGGCACACTTCTTTAATTTCAAGAACACCACCTGTATTTCATTATGTATACACTTGTCTCCTTATCAATTTTGTAATAAATTTTCACAACTTACATAGCCTGATCTAACAGCTTAAGGGAAGTGTCTGGCTGAAGCATGAAATTCATTAATTGTTCAAGCAATATTGATTTCCTGGTTCTGCCTAATCCCTGATACCTGATTTTTCCTTTATATTATCAGTGTTCAAAATCTTACTTTTCCAGAACTTTTCACTAGATTACATTTTCTATCCTTGTCAAATACACACACAATGACATTTGGTATAGCTCTGGGGCTATAATGAAATTGTGTTCTCCCAGCTGAGGATAATATTGGTCTGTATAAGTAACAAGTTTCTCATACTTTGGAATTGATATGGATTTGTTCTCTGCAGGACTACTGTACCAATGAAAGTAAGATGACAGAACCATCAAGGTAGCTTTATTTGCTAATGTTCTGAGGAATCTGATGCACAGGTTTCATAATTCCAAATAATTTTTATGATGATAAATTATCACTAAAGAATGATATTTCATGAAATTTTCTTCATGCACTACCAACTGAGGATATAGAGAATTAACTTTTCCATGTTTTATATAACTAAATTACTGAGATGCCCCCCCTCCCTCTCTCACTCTTAGGAAAGGCTATAAGCAGAATCTGGATTTCGAAGCTGAAAGGAATTACAGGCAACCCTTGAGATTTGAATAAAAATCCTGTACACTGTAGTATTCCACTTTTTCTGGTCGTTTTACACCTCATTTATTCTACTCGAGTCGCACCTTTTTGTTCCTGTTACTTTTGACTTGCATTTATTTTTTAAATGTTGTGTACATTTCACTCTTATTTCACCTTTTTTAAATACCACCAAACCCCACAAGTAATGTTACAAATTTCCAGCGATGCCCATGTTCTCCTACAGTAGTTTTGTTATATCAATGGAGACCCGGAAAGTGATTGGTTAATAGATTATGAATCATATGGTCAAAGGTCAAGTTGACTGTTATAAATTGATTTTATTTATATAAAATTTCCTTTTCCCATCTATGTTTTCAC